CCCTTTAAAAAAAAAAAAAAAAAAAAAACCGCTATTGTAGATGCACATAAAATTATTAAAAAAAAAAAAAAAAAAAAAATCTAAATATTTTATTAGCCGAATATTATTATATTATAATAATACGAGTACCTAAAACTTACAGAAACGTGTGCAACAGTTATTATTTTATTTATTTAAACCGCACAGACCTATTATAATAATATAATAATACGACTCCTCTAGTTTGTCGCACGCATGCGCGTAACGAAACATAGAATATATTATAAAACAATTATTTATATTATATATATATATGTGTATAATAATATTATGGTTAATACGTTAGTAAATTAAATTATTATTAAAATATTTGGTATTTAAGTACAATAATGATTGTGTCCGATAGTAGAAAAAAAAAAAAAAATGGTCATACATGTAAATAGAAGTGGATTCGAAACGAAACGGGGATTCTGTTATCTCATCCGTGTATATGACACGTACAATACAAGTACGCAGGGTAACATTGTATACCGATTTTCGGTCCACATGATGTAGCGATCGGAGTATGTTCCGAAAATACAATATCAAATTTGAATCCGGTAGAATATGTGTGTATACGCGTGAGATCGGTCGGGTCACTTTTTCCATTTTCAGTCCTTGATTTCAAAGAATTCGATTAGAAAATACATAAAAATGTACTTATACAAAAATCGAAAAAAAAAAAAAAACAACAACAAATAAATTGAAAAAAAATGGCCCGGTCAATTTCGAGTGTGTAATACATTTCGCATCGAATTCCAATCTGTTTTCGTGGACAAAAAAATCTGTCCGAATTGTTACACTGCGTGTATGGCGCGGACGTTAGACGGAGAAAGACTAGAGAACCCTAGTTCCATTTCGAATTCCTTCGAGGAGCGAGCACAGCCGGACGTGTTCAGTCGCGTTCAATTGAATGTTGTAAAACGTATAATAATTATTATTATATTATATGCACGCATTACCGAGATGGATAATTTTGTTCGATTTAACCTACCCTCCCGCGTTCACGTCAGTCAGTTTCCACACAGCCCGTCACAACCTCGACTGTGAAGTATTAGCAAGATTGTCATTTGACCAGTGGCCGAACGGATGGAGCAGTTCAGGCGACCGAACGGAAAGGACCGCGATTCAAACGGCGGGGGGGGGGATTGGAGCCGAACCGGAATCGTGAATTTTAATATTATTCGTCCAATCAAAATTAACGGATTTTACAATGATTATTTATTTCGAATTTTATTTTTACACAGAGTGATCGAAATCACATCATTGAATATACGTTACATACAAGTAGGAAATGTTCGTTGAATTCAGGGACCGACTTTCCTAACGTAAACGGAAAGATACCGGTCTCCGGTTAGTGAATATCTCGACTGATCCATCATCACGCGTTCGAAATATGTGACCGAACCGAATTAAACACATTCTGCAGTGTATCCTCGCTCCTTACATTACCTGAACGTTACAGTTTATACGACCTACATTACACGTAAAGTATACAAAGTATATAGAGAGACTATACATAGTTAAACGATAATTGAATGGCCGATTCGTTGGATATCAACTATGTTTAGTGAGAAAAAATGAACAAGTATTTCGAATGTTAAATTTTTAAAACTCAAACGGAACAAATAAAAACCGTATTGTCTATAGCGTTTCCCACTTGACTGTACCGGCAGCGTGCTGGTGCAGGTACATTTTTATATTCCACTTGGAACTCTAGTGCACTTTCGGTGTTTTTTTTTTTTTTTATATTACACTTCATTGCACTGTGACAGTTTTTTTTTCCTTGTGTAGAAAAATATATACGCGAGCTCTAGACGATGGTTGATCTTATTTTATTGACTTATAACACGATAACTTCATCAAATTAACAATTTATTCTTCGATTTATGTCTTACTTTTCAATGACCTACAGAAATATAATAACTAAGAAATATGAATAATGAATACAATAAATGTTTTATCGTTACTACTGCTAGATGACAAAATATTATTTGTCAATTATGAAATATTAAGTATACGTTTTTTAACAAACCAACCAAAAAATATACAAACAATTAATTGTTTTACTCAGTCGCCGTGATTGGGTAAAGCGAAATAATTTGATTAACGAAATAGTGTTTAATAATTACGCCTAATCTCCCCTTACAAAAAAAAAACTAAATAAATAACAGACATTACCTATTATATTACGAGTATAATAATAATTTTAAATATTTAAGAAAAATCGTAATATACCTACGATTACCGGTAAACTGTCTGGGTGCACCAGTGCAATAGTGCAGTCGTGTGGAAAACGCTGGATATTGTTTTTACGCACCTGACACTACGCCGATAACGACAACGCGTCGACCAATAGAAAAACGACGATCGCGCGTCGCGTCCACTACCTTAATATTATAATTATCTACTTAACATGATATTATAAACTATTTGAAAAAGAAAAAAAAAAAAAAATAGTGCACACTTTTTGCTAAAACGACCAAAACTATACAGTCTCTCTAAGTATATAATTAGGAATTAAATAGGTACACAACAATCGAAAAATATCGAATATTATTTATCAATTATATTAAGAGGTAATCTCGTGTCTATAACACAGGTATAATTATTATAATAATGTCTCGTTACGAGAATAAAATGACGATTATAATATACGTTGTAGTTTGTAGTAATTTATAATTCCGAAATACTTTCTAGGGGTATAATATAATATAACACGTCTTAATATATAATCGATTAAACGTTATTCTATATAATAATTCATAATATAATACTGTAAAATGTTTAATATTGTAATAATTAATTAAGAAAACCGATATAATATTATTGTATAGTGTACATTCGAAATTATTTAACCGTTTTGTGTTGCGTTTAATATCATTTTTTTTTTTCGTTTTTAAACATATATATTATAATAAAGTGCTCGTAGTGGTTTTTTTATAAGAAAAAAAAAATGTAGGTTAAAAAGTCCGTATGTTTCACGATACGCGCGAGAAAAGCGATGATACAGCTATATTATAATATGTATATTACTGTGTTTTTAGTTGTGAAATCGGAGACCGGGTTTTGTCGTCGGGTCGATTGGGCGTGCGCGTGAATGTGTATTACGAAAAAAAAAAAAAAAAAAAAAAAAAAAAAAAACGGTTTGATACAGATATTATTTTTTTTTGTTTTGCAAACGTAAAATTAGTACGTTCAAATAATTGTCCGCGGGGAACTGCTGCAAAGACAATACAACATGTACGATGCGTTTTTCACACCCATCGCCGTACAAAAAGGAAAACAAAATTTTTACCAAAACGGGAGTAATGATTTTTTTTACCCATAATATGTATAATATATACAGGATGATTCATTTATTGTTAACATTGTTAACATAATAACGCGATGGACTACTCGAATATTATTATACTGCACATTTTGGTAACTGAATAATAATACTTAGTATATTATTATCGAATAAAAAAAAAACACGAATATAAAATTATATATATTATATTGTATACACGCGCTAACGAAAAAATGCATGAAAAATATACCACGCGAAATATTTAACGGACAAAATAATCTGCGCGCTGCCTATTATAAATACTGTTAAAAAACATACAAAAAAAGTCGTTTGAATTACAACGATTCACATAAAAAGTTAATCGTTCGAATGATGGTAATATATTAAAAAAAAAAAAAAAAAAAAAAAAAGGCGTTCGATATATTTCGCTGCGGGCGAGGGTGTTATAATCACCTTAATGTCATGCTGGTACGGTTTAAAAAATCGGTTCGGAGTATTGTGCGGTTTTTTTTTTTTTTAAAATATTTTTTTTTTATTTATAAATCGACGTACGCATTACTAGGTGATTTTTTTTTTTTTTTTTACCTTAAAGTCCACCGCCAGAAAATCTTCGGAACCTACTCATAAAAAAAAAAAATAAATCACCCTGTATAGTGCGTAGAAAATAATAATTTCTAAAATGCGAAGCCCGGTGTATTGTTGACGAGCAACGGTATACCGTGTATACGTTTATTGGCTATTATAATTTTATTACAAAGTAAACTTAATATATAGAGCGGCGACGGGTCGTGAAAATAGTAATTGAAATGATATCGTTACTGTGTATATATGTATATACGGGGATCGAAATTATCGCGAAATCCAGAAAGAAAACTGGTCCGGCTCACTCAGAGTTTCGGAAAAAAAGAAAAAAAAAAAAAAAACGAAATAATCGTAAGGTTTGAAAATTGTCGTTTAAGGAGAATTCGAAAAATAATTCCGAAGCGAGGAGGAAAAAAAAAAAAAAAAAAAAAACATTGATAAAGTACAGGCTCTTTGGCTGATACACTATAACTATGCATATTATTATGCGCACACACATTATACATTGCGTGGCGAACGGTTTTATTTCTATTGTTATTATGCATGGTTATCCGGACAAAAACAACACGAGAAAACGGTCTCGATAAATACATTTTTTTCCGGAAAGACACATCCCCGATTTTTCCCGGTAATTTTCACTTCCGCTAAAATCTCGAAATTTCGATCCCTACATATACACACACACACACACACACACACACACACACACGCACAGTTGCGTCCGCAACGCGATATTGCAATACACAGCCGCGTTACGGTATTATAATCGAATCGGAAATCGTATCGCGGAAAAATCGATCCGATCCGACGAGATTTACGATTTCGAAACGTAAGAAAAAAAAAAAAAAAAAAACGCGTGCGCGACTGCACCGTGCGGAACGATTTTGCCGGACACGGATGCCGGAATGACGGCGCGGACGACCACGCGGCGATATTTTGAACCGTCGCGAACAGTATCCTGTATAAAATACGTTATTCGACACGAGTCTGACGTAGGGAAATCGACGTTTGTTGACGTTATACATTAGTCATTAGTCAACGTACAAAAACTGAAATGCGCGTATTCGCCTAGGAAAGCACGCGGGGGGGGGGAAACAAAAACATAACACAACAAATATACCTGACACTAGAAAATATTGATTTGTTCGTGTGTCCGGATCGACCGTCTACGCGAAAAGTCCTACGGAATATGATGTTTATCGTTTTGTGTACACGAGTAACGATTGACGGGTCGACGGTGGCGGGTGGGTTTGGGGGCGGGGGGGAGTGTGTTTGGGGTTGAAGGTGAAATAATTGCGGATCGCTGCGGTATTCCGCGCGCGATTAACGCGATCGACGACGACGGCGATGATAATGCGACGACCGCGCGCGCGTTCGCAAAAATAATAATTCGCTAATATCAATGTTAATGTTGAATTTTAAAATAATAATAACAATAATAAAAAAAAAAAAAAAAAAAA